TGAAAACGGATAACCCACCCTCGTCGGAATCGAAACCCGCAATGCCGGTTAGAAGACCGATGCCTTATTCGCTAGGCCACAATAGCGATGTGTCGAACCGATGCACTGGACCGTTTCTTTCATTAGCGCTTTTACTCTAGGTTACAGTAAAACACACCATCGATAGGAAGAATAGGGGAAAAGGAACTAAAATGCTTTGCTTACAAGCAAGAAAACTGTAGCAGAAATCCTTTGTTAATGAAAAAGAATATCCCCACCCTCGTCGGGACTCGAACCCACGGTCCCCGGTTTAGGAGACCGATGCCTTAGCCGTTAGGCCACGAGGGCGATAGCAGGCGGGGGCACTGGCGTTCCTTCCATTAGCGCTTTTACGCTAGGTTGCATAGAACACACAGCGAAAGGAATATTGGGGAAAGGAAACGCATATGCTTTGCTTCAAGCAAGAAAACTGTAGCACAAACCCTTTTGTGTAATGAAAAAGGAATCGCCCACCCTCGGCAGGGAATCGACCCGCAATCCCCGGTTTAGAAGACCAGATGCCTTATTCCGTAGCCACGAGGCCGATGTGCGAGCGATGCACTAGCGATCTTTCATTAGCGCGTTTACTCTAGGTTACAGTAAGGAACCACCATCGAAAGGAATATAGGGGAAAAGGAAATGCATATGCTTTGGTTCAAGCAAGAAAACTGTGGGAGAAACCCTTTCTGTTATGAAAAAAGGATACACCCACCCTCGGCGGGACTCGAACCCGCAATCCCCGGTTTAGGAGACTGATGCCTTATCCGTTAGGCCATGAGGCGATGTGCGGAGGATGCACTGGCGTTCCTTTCATTAGCGCGTTTACTCTAGGTTACAGTAGAAACACACCATCGAAAGGAATATAGGGGAAAGGAAACACAATAGCTCTGCTTCAAGCAAGATAAACTGTAGCAGAACCCTTGGTATTGAAAAAGGAATAACCCACCCTCGGCGGGACTCGAACCGCAATCCCCGGTTTAGAGACCGATGGCCTATCCGTTTAGGCACGAGGGCGATGTGCGAGCGATGCACTGGCGTTCTTTCATTAGCGCTTTTACTCTAGGTACAGTAAACACCACAATCGAAAGGAATATAGGGCAAAGAAACGAATATGCTTGCCTCAAGCAAGAAAACTGTAGCAGAAAAACCCTTGTTAATGAAAAAGATAACCCACCCTCAGCGGGACTCGACCCGCCTCCCCCGTTTCAGGAGACCGATGCCTTATCCGTTAGGCCACGAGGGCGATGTGCGAGCGATGCACTGGCGTTCCTTTCATTAGCGCTTTTACTCTAGGTTGACAGTAGAAACACACCATTCGAAAGGAATATAGGAAAAGGGAAATGCACTTGCTTGGTTCAGCTAGAAAACTAGCAAAACCCTTTGTATGAAAAAGGATACACCAACCCTCGGTCGGGACTCGAACCCGCATCCCCCGTTTAGAAACCGATGCCTTATTCGTTAGGCCACGAGGGCGGATGTAGCGGGCGGTGCACTGGCTGTTCCTTTCATTAGCGCGTTTACTCTAGGTTGCATGTAGAACACACCATCGAAGGAATATAGGGGAAAAGGAAACGCATATGCTTTTGCTTCAAGCAAGAAAACTGTAGCAGAACCCTTGGTAATGAAAAAGGATAACCCACCCTCGGCGGGACTCGAACCCCGCAATCCCGGTTTAGAAGACCGATGCCTTATCCGTTAGGCCACGAGAGCGATGTGCGAGCGATGCACTGGCGTTCCTTTCATTAGCGCTTTTACTTTAGGTTACAGTAGAACACCCATCGAAAGTAATATAGGAGAAAGGAACTGCACATTGCTTTGGTTCAAGCAAGAAAACTGTAGCAGAAACCTTTGTTAATGAAAAAGGATAACCCACCCTCGGCGGGACTCTAACCGCAATCCCCGGTTTAGAGACCGATGCCTTATCCGTTAGGCCACGAGGGCGATGTGCGAGCGATGCACCGGGCGTTCCCTTTCATTAGCGCTTTACTCTAGGGGACAGTAGAACACATCATCGAAAGGAATATACGGGAAAAGGAAAATGCATATGCTTTGGTTCAAGCAAGAAAAACTGTGAGAAAACCCTTTGTTAAGTAAAAAAGGATAACCCAACCCTCCACGGGACTCGACCCGCCGATTCGCCTGGTTAGGAGGACCGATGCTTATCCGGTTAGGCACGTAGGGCGATGTGCGATGCGATGCACTGGCGTTCCTTTCATAGCGCTGTTTACTCTAGGTTACTAGGGAAACCACAACTCGGAAAGGATATAGGGGAAAAGGAAAATGCATATGCTCTTGGCTTCAAGCAAGAAACTGTGGGAAAAACCCTTGGTATTGAAAAAGCTATACCCACCCGCGGCGGGACTCGAATCCCGCAATTCCCGGTTTAGGAAGACCGATGCCTTAATCCGTTAGGTCCACGAGGGCGATTGTGCGAGCGATGCACTGGCGTTCCTTTCATTAGCGCTTTTACTTCTAGGTTACAGTAGAACACACCATCGAAATGAATATAGGAGAAAGGAAATGCACATGCTTTGGTTCAAGCAAGAAACTGTAGCAGAAACCCTTTGTTAATGAAAAAGGATAACCCACCCCTCGGCGGGACTCGAACCCCGCAATCCCCGGTTTAGAAGACCGATGCCTTATCGTTAGGCACGAGGGCGATGTGCGAGCGATGCACTGGCGTTCTTTCATTAGCGCTTTTACTCTAGGTTACAGTAGAACACACATTCGAAAGGAATATAGGGGAAAAGGAAATGCATATGCTTTGCTTCAAGCAAGAAAACTGTAGCAGAAACCCTTTGTTAATGAAAAAGAATATCCCACCTCGGCGGGACTCGACCCCGCCATCCCCGGTTTAGGAGACCGATGCCTTATCCGTAGGCCACGAGGGCGATGTGCGAGCGATGCACTGGCGTTCATTTCATTAGCGCTTTTACTCTAGGTTACAGTAAAACACACCATCGAAAAAAATATAGGAGAAAAGGAAACGCATATGCTTTGCTTCAAGCAAGAAAACTGAAGCAGAAACCTTTGGTAATGAAAAAGGATAACGCACCCTCGGCGGGTCTCGAACCCGCAATCCCCCGTTTAGAAGACCGATGCCTTATTCGTTAGGCCACAAGAGCGATGTGCGACCGATGCACTAGCGTTCTTTTCATTAGCGCTTTTACTCTAGGTTGCAGTCGAACACACCATCGAAAGGAATATAGGGGAAAAGGAAACACATATGCTCTGCTTCAAGCAAGAAAACTGTGGCAGAAACTCTTAGTAATGAAAAAGGATAACCCACCTTCAGCGGGACTCGAACCCGCAAACCTCGGTTTAGAAGACCGATGCCTTAACCGTTAGGCCACGAAGGCGATGTGCGAGCGATGCACTGGCGTTCCTTTCATTAGCGCTTTTAATTTAGGTTACAGTAGAACGCACCATCGAAAGGAATATAGGAGAAAGGGAAATCCACATGCTTTGCTTCAAGCAAGAAAACTGTAGCAGAAACCTTTTCTGTGAATGAAAAAAGTAACCTACCCTCGGTGGGACTCGAACTCGCAATCCCGGTTTAGGAGACCGATGCCTTATCCGTAGGCCACGAGGGCGATGTGCGGGCGATGCACTGGCGTTCCTTTCATTAGCGCCTTTACTCTAGGTTGCAGTAGAACACACCATCGAAAGGAATACAGGGGAAAAGGAAACGCATATGCTTTGCTTCAAGCAAGAAAACTGTAGCAGAAACCCTTGGTATTGAAATAGTATAACCCACCGTCGGCGGGACTCGAACCCGCAATCCCGGTTTAGAAGACCCATGCCTTATCCGTTAGCCAAGAGGGCGATGTGCGAGCGATGCACTGGCGTTCCTTTCATTAGCACTTTTACTCTAGGTTACTGTAGAACCCACCATCGAAAGGAATAAAGGGGAAAAGGAAACGCATATGCTTTGCTTCAAGCAAGAAAAACTGTAGCAGAAACCCTTGGTAATGAAAAAGGATAACCCACCCTCGGCAGGACACGAACCCGCAATGCCCGGTTTAGAAGATCGATGCCTTATTTGTTAGGCCACAAGAGCGATGTGCCACCGATGAACTGGCATTCCTTTCATTAGCACTTTTACTCTAGGTTACAGTAAAACACACCATAGAAAGGAATATAGAGGAAAAGGAACTAATATGCTTTCCTTCAAGCAAGAAAACTGTAGCACAAACCCTTGGTAATGAAAAAGGATAACCCACCCTCGGCGGGACTCGAACCCGCAATCCCCGGTTTAGAAGACCGATGCCTTATCCGTTAGGCCACGAAGGCGATGTGGTTGATTGATATGTGGGGTTTAACGTCCCAAAACCACTATTTGATTATGAGAGACGCCGTAGTGGAGGGCTGCGGAAATTTAGACCACCCGGGGTTCTTTAACGTGCACCCAAATCTGAGCACACGGGCCTACAACATTTCCGCCTCCCTCGGAAACGCAGCCGCCGCAGGTGGGATTAGAACCCGCGCCCTGCGGAAATGAAAAAGGATAACCCACCCTCGGCGGGACTCGAACCCGCAATGCCCGGTTTAGAAGACTGATGCCTTATCCGTTAGGCCACGAGAGCGATGTGCGAGTGATGCACTGGCGTTCCTTTCATTAGCGCTTTTACTCTAGGTTACAGTAGAACACAACATCGAAAGGAATATAGGGGAAAAGAAGCGCATATGCTTTGCTTCAAGCAAGAAAACTTTAGCAGAAACCTTTTCTGTGAATGAAAAAAAGAACCTACCCTCGGCGGGACTCGAACTCGAAATCCCCGGTTTAGGAGACCGATGCCTTATCCGTTAGGCCACGAGGGCGATGTGCGGGCGATGCACTGGCGTTCCTTTCATTAGCGCTTTTACTCTAGGTTGCAGTAGAACACACCATCGAAAGGAATATAGGGGAAAAGGAAATGCATATGCTTTGGTTCAAGCAAGAAAACTGTGGCAGAAACTCTTGGTATTGAAAAAGGATAACCCACCTTCAGCGGGACTCGAACCCGCAAACCTCGGTTTAGAAGACCGATGCCTTAACCGTTAGGCCACGAAGGCGATGTGCGAGCGATGCACTGGCGTTCCTTTCATTAGCGCTTTTAATTTAGGTTACAGTAGAACGCACCATCGAAAGGAATATAGGGGAAAAGGAAACGCATATGCTTTGCTTCAAGCAAGAAAACTGTAGCAGAAACCCTTTGTTAATGAAAAAGAATAACCCACCCTCGGCGGGACTCGAACCTGCAGTCCCCGATTTAGGAGACCGATGCCTTATCCGTTAGGCCACGAGGACTATGTGCGGGCGATGCACTGGCGTTCCTTTCGTTAGCGCTTTTACTCTAGGTTACAGTAAAACATACAATCGAAAAGAATATCGGGGAAAAGAAAATGCATATGCTTTGGTTCAAGCAAGGAAACTGCGAGAAACCCTTTGTTAGTAAAAAAGAATAACTTACCCTCGGCGGCACTCGAACCCGCAATCCCCGGTTTAGAAGACCGACGCCTTATCCGTTAGGCCACGAGGGCAATGTGCGAGCGATGCACTGGCGTTCCTTTCATTAGCGCTTTTACTCTAGGTTGCAGTAAGAACACACCATCGAAAGGAATATAGGGAAAGGAAACTGCACTATGCTTTGCTTCAAGCAAGGAAACTGTAGCAGAAAACCTTTGTAATGAAAAGGATAATCCCACCTCGGCGGGACTCGAACCCGCAATCCCCGGTTTAGGAAGACCGATGCCTTATTCCGTTAGGCCACGAGGGCGAATGTGCGAGCGATGCACTAGCGTTCTTTTCATTAGCGCGTTTACTCTAGGTTACAGTAGAACACATCATCGAAGGAATATAAGGGAAAAGGAAACTGCATATGCTTTGCTTCAGGCAAGAAAACTGTAGTAGAAACCCTTTGGTAATAAAAAAGAATATCCCACCTTTGGCGGGACTCGAACCCGCAATCCCCGGTTTAGAAGACCGATGCCTTATCCGTTAGGCCACGAGGGCGATGTGCGAGCTGATGCACTGGCGTTCCTTTCATTAGCGCTTTTACTCTAGGTTGCAGTAGAACACACATCGAAAGGAATATAGGGAAAAGGAAACGCAATGCTTTGCTTCAAGCAAGAAAACTGTAGCAGAAACCCTTGTTAATGAAAAAGGAATACCCACCCTCGGCGGGACTCGACCCCGCCATCCCCGGTTTAGGAGACCGATGCCTTATCCGTTAGGCCACGAGGGCGATGTGCGAGCGATGCACTGGCGTTCCTTTCATTAGCGCTTTTACTCTAGGTTGCAGTAGAACACACCATCGAAAGGAATATAGGGGAAAAGAAACGCATATGCTTTGCTTCAAGCAAGAAAACTGTAGCAGAAACCCTTTGTTAATGAAAAAAGATAACCCACCCTCGGCGGGACTCGAACCCGCAATCCCCGGTTTAGGAGACCGATGCCTTATCCGTTAGGCCACGAGGGCGATGTGCGAGTGATGCACTGGCGTTCCTTTCATTAGCGCTTTTACTCTAGGTTGCAGTAGAACACATCATCCAAAGGATATAGGGGAAAAGGAAACGCATATGCTTTGCTTCAAGCAAGAAAACTGTAGCAGAACACCTTGGTAATTGAAAAAGGATACCCACCCTCGGCGGGACTCGAACCCGCATCCCCGGTTTAGGAAGACCGATGCCTTATCCGTTAGGCCACGAGGGCGATGTGCGAGCGATGCACTGGCGTCCTTTCATTAGCGCTTTTACTCTAGGTTACAGTAGAACACACCATCGAAAGGAATATAGGAGGAAAAGGAAACGCATATGCTTTGTTCAAGCAAGAAAACTGTAGCACAAACCCTTGGTAATGAAAAAGGATAACCCACCCTCGGCGGACTCGACCCGCCATCCCCGTTAGAGACCGATGCCTTATCCGTTAGGCCACGAGGGCGATGTGCGAGCGATGCACTAGCGTTTCCTTTCATTAGCGCGTTTACTCTAGGCTTACAGTAGAACACACCATCGAAAGGAATATAGGGAAAAAGGAAACGCATATGCTTTGCTTCAAGCAAGAAAACTGTAGCAGAAACCCTTTGGTAATAAAAAAGAATAACCCACCCTCGGCGGGACTCGAACCCGCAATCCCCCGTTTAGAAGACCGATGCCTTATTCCGTTAGGCCACAGAGGGCGATGTGCGAGCGTGCACTGGCGTTCCTTTCATTAGCGCTTTTACTCTAGGTTACAGTAGAAACACACCATCGAAAGTAATATAGGGGAAAAGGAAAATGCATATGCTTTGGTTCAAGCAAGAAAACTGTGAGCAGAAACCCTTTGTTATGAAAAAAGGATAACCCACCCTCGGCGGGACTCGAACCCGCAATTCCCGGTTTAGAAGACCGATGCCTTATTCGTTAGGCCACGAAGGCGATGTGCGAGTATTGCACTGGCGTTCCTTCCATTAGCGCGTTTACTCTCTGTTACAGTAGAACACAACATCGAAAGGAATATAGGGGAAAAGGAAACGCATATTCTTTGCTTCATGCAGGAAAACTGTAGCACAAACCCTTTGTTAATAGAAAGGACAACCCACCCTCCGCCGGACTCGAACCCGCAATCCCCGGTTTAGGAGACCAATGCTTTATCCGTTAGGCCACGAGAGCGATGTGCGTGTGATGCACTGGCGTTCCTTTCATTAGCGCTTTTCTCTAGGTTGCAATAGAACACACCATCGGAAGGAATATCGGGGAAAAGGAAACACATATGCTCTGCTTCAAGCAAGAAAACTGTTGCAGAAACTCTTGCTATTGAAAAAGGATAACCCACCCTCGGCGGGACTCGAACCCGCAAACCCCGGTTTAGAAGACCGATGCCTCATCCGTTAGGCCACGAGGGCGATGTGCGAGCGATGCACTGGCGTTCCTTTCATTAGCGCTTTTAATTTAGGTTACAGTAGAACGCACCATCGAAAGGAATATAGGAGAAATGGAAATCCACATGCTTTGCTTCAAGCAAGAAAACTGTAGCACAAACCATTGGTAATGAAAAAGGATAACCCACCCTCAGCGGGACTCGAACCCGCAATCCCCCATTTAGAAGACCGTGCCTTATTCGTTAGGCCATGAGGGCGATGTGCGAGCGATGCACTAGCGTTCTTTTCATTAGCGCGTTTACTCTAGGTTACAGTAGAACACATCATCGAAAGGAATATAGGGGAAAAGGAAATGCATATGCTTTGGTTCAAGCAAGAAAACTTTGGGAGAAACCCTTTGTTAATAAAAAGGATAGCCCACCCTCCGCGGGACTCGAACCCGAAATCCGCTGTTTAGAATACCGATGCCTTATCTGTAAGGCCACGAAGCCGATGTGCGATTGCTGCCATTAAGTTCCTTTCATTAGCGCGTTTACTATAGGTTACAGTGGAACACAACATCGAATAGAATATAGGGGCAAAAAAGCGCATAAACTTTGTTTCAAGCAAAAAAACTGTAGCAGAAACCTTTTCGGTGAATGAAAAAAAAATAACCTACCCTCGGCGGTACTCGGACCCGCAATCCCCGGTTAGGGAGACCGATGCCTTATCCGTTAGGCCATGAGGGCGATGTGCGGGCGATGCACTGGCGTTCCTTTCATTAGCGCTTTTACTCTAGGTTACAGTAAAACACACAATCGAAAGTAATATAGGAGATAGAGAAATCACATGCTTTGGTTCAAGCAAGAAAACTGTAACAAAACCCATTGTTAATAAAAAAGGATAATCCACCCTCGGCGGGACTCGAACCCACAGTCCCCGGTTTAGAAGACCGATGCCTTATCCGTTAGGCCACGAGGGCGATGTGCGGGCGATGCACTAGCGTTCTTTTCATTAGCACGTTTACTCCAGATTACCATAGAACACATCATCCAAAGGAACATAGGGGAAAAGGAAACGCATATGATTTGCTTCAAGCAAGAAAACTGTAGCAAAAACTCTTTGTTAATTGAAAATAATAACTCACCGTTGTTGGGACTCGAACCCGCAATCTCCGAGTTAGGAGACCGATGCCTTATCCGGTAGGCCACGAGGGCGATGTGCGAGCGATGCACTGGCGTTCTTTCATTAGCACGTTTACTCTTGGTTACAGTAGAACACAACATCGAAAGGAATATAGGGAAAAAGCAAACGCACATGCTTTGCTTCAAGCAAGAAAACTGTAGCACAAACCCTTTGTTAATGAAAAAGAGTAACCCACCCTCGGTGGGACTCGAACCCGAAATCCCCGGTTTAGACGACCGATGCCTTATCCGTTAGGCCACGAGGGCGATGTGCGAGCGATGCACTGGCGTTCCTTTCATTAGCGCTTTACTTTAGGTTACAATAGAACACACCATCGAAAGGAATATAGGAGAAAGAGAAATGCACATGCTTTGGTTCAAGCAAGAAAACTGTAGCAAAACCCTTTTTTATTGAAAAAGAATAACCCACCCTCAGCGGGACTCGAACCCGCCATCCCCCGTTTAGAAGACCGATGCCTTATCGTTAGGCCACGAGGCGATGTGCGAGCGATGCACTAGCGTTCTTTTCATTAGCACGTTTACTCTAGGTTACAGTAGAACACAACATCGAAAGGAATATAGGGAAAAAGAAAGCCATATGCTTTGCTTCAAGCAAGAAAACTGTAGCACAAACCCTTTGTTATGAAAAGGATAACCCACCCTCGGTGGGACTCGAACCCGCAATCCCCGGTTTAGAAGACCGATGCCTTATCCGTTAGGCCACGAGGGCGATGTGCGAGCGATGCACTGGCGTTCCTTTCATTAGCGCTTTTACTCTAGGTTTCAGTAGAACACACCATCGAAGGAATATAGGGGAAAAGGAAACGCATATGCTTTGCTTCAAGCAAGAAAACTGTAGCAGAAACCCTTGGTATTGAAAAAGGATAACCCACCCTCGGCGGGACTCGAATCCGCAATCCCGGTTTAGAAGACCGATGCCTTATCCGTTAGGCCACGAGGGCGATGTGCGAGCGATGCACTGGCGTTCCTTTCATTAGCGCTTTTACTCTAGGTTGCAGTAGAATACACCAATCGAAGGAATATAGGGAAA